TTAAGATTTCATTTAAATATTCATTGAAACACAAATACAAAAAGCGAATAAAAACTATAATTTTATTTATGAATTAATAAAAAGTGCTGTGAATTATGTGCATATGTTTTGCGTATAATTAAATTAATAAAAATGAAAACTAAAAATCAATCTTTCATTTCTCGTGTTGTAATACATATAACACACACAGCGAGAGAGGGCTTTGCATTGGTGTGTGTGCGGGGACTGGTATGGTATGCGCGCCCCCGCACTACTGCCCACTCTAAACGTAACGTTGTTTGTGTGGCATTTGGATGCGAACAGAGAGTGTGTGGTTGTGCTGTGCTCTCAATGGGACGGTGAGGATAGGCCTCTAAATACTGTACACACAAACACACCAGCCGTACATTACATGCACTCAATATTATACATTCCCATAGAGTTTAACAGCGGATATAGAGTAACCCAACACCGCATACCAGTGCCCCTCATCGCACACCCGTCCCATACAAACTGGCTATACGTGTGTTTTGGATGGCGTTGTGGCGCCGATACAGTCGACGCCCGGCACTAAAGCCATGGCATGTTTGCCGGCGCACAGGGAGTTCACTATAGCGGGGATACATTAATAGTAGGCTTACATAATAGTTATCTAACAATAAGGCGGTGTAGAAGAGGTGATCGTACACTATATGTAAGTGTATTGTATGCGAGTGTTGGCTACACTGGTGTGGGACGTGTGTGAGGGGAGTCCGATAGAGGGAAGGGTGGTTTAGGGCACTGTATGCGTGAGTGTATGCATCGAAAGCTACAGTCAAACACACTGTTTGAGTGTTTGGCTGCACTGAAAACAGGACTCAAAACTATTGGCAAACGCAGTGAATGAGCAGTGGATGTGTTGTGAAGGGCTCTGAGACTGTGGATAGAGAGATAGGGATAGCGCTGTACAGCTATAGCTGAGGCACAGCACCAGTGCTTTGCAGTACCACTCATACCACTCCACACAACAACACACATAACGTTAAGTCTATGACCAAAAAATAATGTGTGAAATGATATGAAAAATTGACTCAAATTTTAAGTAATATTTCTTTTGGTTTTCATTAATTGATAATTAGTTTGATTTGCATTTGATTTATGTTTTGATTGTGTGTTTCTCTGACCACAAGTGTTGAGACTTAAGACTACTGTTTAGTGTGTATTGAGATGTGAAGAGAGATGTTTGGGACCCAACTCTCACATACCATCACAACTGTTGTCATCATTTCTTGATTCACTCTTTCATTCACTCAATTGTATTCAATCGGTTCCGCAAACTCTTCGAGTCTTCATTTGAGTTGACAATTGATGTCCACAAAGGACTTGACAATCGCTACAACTAATCACTCATCCATTTGTTGTCCAAATCGTAAGTTGTTTTACATTCATGTTATTTGTGTTGTTATTATCATATGTTTATACCATAACTATTGATAATTAAATGTCTGTTTTGTTTGTGTATGTATTGTATGGCATCTGAAGACATCGGATCCCATCCACGAACTGTGTGTTTACCGCGCGATCTGATTGTTTGACTTGATTTGGTCTGCGGTGTGAACTGATCGGTGCTCTGGAGGCTGAGGAGGAAGAAAGGATGGGTGAAAACAGTAACTCTTCGACGACCAACTCGTCCAACAACAACGTGTCGATGCAGTCGACGGCCGACTATTTGGCGCAACTTCTTAAGGACCGAAAACAGTTGATAGCGTTTCCCAATGTCTTCATTCACATCGAGCGTCTCCTCGATGAAGGTTTGTTGAGATTATCATTGCTTTTAATGGCTTGTCGTTTGTGTTAACCCTCCGGGAAAGGCGCTAATCCCTACCCGACCCCCATATAGTGGTGTTGAGTAGAGTCAATAGGTTTGTATGCAAAGCCCTGGTTCGGGCCAATGGCCACAACCATCCGAGTAATGGCCATATTTTTAATCACTCGCATACGAGCCGTGTTTTGTAATGTATTGGAAACTGGTTTTTCATATGAGCTTTACATGTATAATATTTTGTCAATTGATGATGCTATAAACCGTATACATATGGTTAGCAATTTGTTGATAACTCGGGTGTTTGTGGTCATTTGTGAGTTCTGTGAACGTATTACAAACCCCCGCACTGTACCCAACAAACCGCTGTATTACTTGTCGGTATCGGCCCTCCGGTGGTAATACAATGACTTGATTTTGAGTTGACAAATGCATTTCGCTGTATATGACTACCTCTCCCTCCCTGTCTCTCCCCTCCATCCCTATGTGGCCCTCTATTTCTCTCCCCTCTCTCTCTCCCCTCCCTCTCCTTCAATGCAACGAAATCCTCGCCTTTAACTTAATTTCGAGATCAAGTAAAATGAAAATAATTTTCTTGTTTTTTATGTATTGCTTAAATGCGCTGAGCGTTGGAAAAGTCTGTTCACAAAAAGTGTTAATTTCGACGAAATTAATTATGAAAATTGAATTATTATTAGTTTTAATGAATATTTATGTCTTAAATCACTACTTAATGCTAATCCCATCGAATTTCGATTGATTTTTGGACATAAAATTAAATAAATAACTTTCAGATGATTTCGTGATCTCTTTTCTCTGACTCGCCTTCACTTCCTATGCACTCATATAATACAACTCCTCGTCTTTTCCTTAATTTCCAGATTATGTAAGAAATAATCATTTCTTGTTTTTTATGTATTGCTTATGGTTTGTGTTATACATTGTATTAAAGTCTGGTTACAAAAAGTTAATTTTTATGAAATTAATTATTAATTTTGAATTATTATTAGATTTTTATGAATATTTATGCTTTAAATAACTACTTGATGCGAATCCTGCAAAATTTTGATTGATTTTTGGGCATAAAATTAAATACATAACTTTCATATGATTTCATGAAAACATTTTATCGTCAAGCATTTTAGTCTCTCTCTCTCTCTCTCTCTCTCTCATCTATAAAACGCTTTCAAATAGTTTCTCACAATTGAATAGCAATTTGTGTTTTTATTTATTAGCGAATCGTATATCCATTTGTTGGTTGGGTTGGGTGTGAATCCGCACAACTGTTGAACACTTCATACACTGTTGTTATATAATAGCGATGAGGAGAGAGAGAGAGAGAGAGCTGTTGTGGCGGTTTTTGTCGACTTATCATAGAGGCTAATGTCATTGTTTTCAGGTCTAATGCAATCTAAACGCCAATTAAGCCAATTCCCGGACACACCCACCCCTTCCCCTCCTGAGAACAGTGCTTTTGTCTGGTGTTTAAGCAAATTGTTTGCGGTTTTGCTTCAAATTTACAATTTTTGTGGAATCGTTTTATTTCGAGATGTTTTGTATGCGAGAAATGACTGCTTTTCCGTTCCGGTGCCCGATTGTCAACTCATCCTTACATTTGTTATTGTCTTTTATGCTAAATAATGGCTTTCTTTTGGTCTAATAGTGTACTTAAAACTGCTTTTTTCAGTGATTTTTGTTGTTTGTTTGAATTGAAATGTTTGTTTGTTTTCATATTTAACTGATTATCTCTTGGTTTACTGACATAAGCGCTAACTGTAAATGTATGCCTCAATAATTTAGTGATAATATCGTAATTAATGTTTAATATTTAATTATTGGTTAATTTTGTAATGATATGAATTGCGATAATTTATGTGATAATTGTCTATTAGTATAATTATGTGCGCAAACCGTGTGTGTAATTTATTTAATTTATTAATTAAGTAAATGTCGTACAAAATGTTAAGCGTTTAGAATAATTGTTAAACTATTTGCTTAAATATTGTTAATATTTGAATGAATTTTTTATTGAATAATTCAATTGAAACTAAAAGCTCTTAATTTGTTTGCATTTCGTATCAGAATTCAGCGATTATTATATTTAAGGCATAATTAAAGCCTATCTTTATTATAATTGTCGATTGCAACTCATTATAATCACATTTTCTGTGACAACCTCTCTCTCTCTCTCTCTCTCTCTCTCTCTCTCNATTACAATATAGATAAACCCAATATTAGTGTTAATAATATTATTATAATAAAATATATATGTATTTTAATCACAATCGCGTGGTATTTAATACATGGTATTTACGAGTGGCCTCTCTCTCAGGTATTTCTTTTATTTGCTTTATAAGTGTTATATAATTATTGAACACAACACTAATGTGATTGTATTTATATTTAAGACTGTGTTATACAGTGTTTGTACAAAAGGGAGCGAATGAATGAATGCTGATTAGAAATAGTGACTTAACTTAACAAACGGTTATTAATGTTGTTTTAAACACAAATATAAGATATGAATGATTTATCTAAATGTATACAACAATTGCTTTGATTGACGGTTCCCTTCTCTCCGCACACATACACTACCGGCGCTTAAACACTATGGGATTAAATAGTGAGCCATTCATTCATTAATTCATATCACTTGTGATAACACAAAATATATTGTATTTGAGATTTCGGTTACACACTCTTGAGAGGCCACTCGTAAATACCATGTATTAAATACCACGCGATTGTGATTAAAATACATATATTTTTATTATAATAATATTATTAACACTAATATTGGGTTTATCTAACGGGTGTTTAGCCATCGAGGGATGAAGTAATCATGCTGCTATTTGATAACCCCTCGTACGATTTTAATAAACTTAGTTTTATTTTAAAGATAAAAAGCGGGAAAATTATTCCAAATAATTTCAAAATTTCTATTAAGTAGGGTGACCACATGTTATCACGTTTTCTTTTAATTACAACTAAAAACCGTTGAAATATAAATTTATACTTAAAATTCAATTAAAAATATTATTGATAATATTTCTATTAATATGATTTAGATTTCCCCAAACGTCTTCAACACATAATCTTAAGAGGTAGCGGCAATTTTGAATAGACAATTTTATTAATATTCTATTTTTTGTCATAAATATAATATACATTTCAAATATTTAAATGGTATAAATGTATACCAGTGGGATGAATTATCTTTAAAACTCTAATAAACGAATAATTTTCCCGCTTTTTATCTTTAAAATAAAACTAAGTTTATTAAAATCGTACGAGGGGTTATTAAATAGCAGCATGATTACTTCATCCCTCGATGGCTAAACACCCGTTATATTGTAATATCTGCAATGTTTTATTATTAGTCGCTATAATAACGATAAGTCTGTTTTATCGTTAATATTGTTAAAACACAGCGCGTATTGTTTGCCGAAACTGTCGAAACATATCTGGTGTTGACATAAAGCACTCGTAGGTCTTGTGGTTTCGCTGCGGATACCAATCGTTGGCAGAGATGTTGGCCAAAAAAGTGGTAGATTTGATCCCGCTTTTTATCTTTAAAATAAAACTAAGTTTATTAAAATCGTACGAGGGGTTATTAAATAGCAGCATGATTACTTCATCCCTCGATGGCTAAACACCCGTTATTTGGGCTGTTTTTCATAACTATTATAGTGACTATTTGGGGTATTATATTCACTTATAATGCAATGCTCTGATTATATGTTATGGATGTGTTGCATTCCAATCTTGTGTAAACTCATAATAAATATATAGGGATTGTATTATAATTGAAATGGGTTTCCTTTCTAGGATAAGGGATTGACATTTATTAAATGAATACTCGCTATTATATAATCATTAATTTATGGAGAATATTTAAATCACGATATGATTTATAAAACCTTGTATTATAAATGATGTTTAATAATAGAAAATTTTATATTAAATCATTATGTTTTGAAAAATAATTTATTTCTTAATGATATAAAAATTATTTTATAAAATATTAAAGTTAATCCAATAATAACTTGTATTGAATGCGACAAATTATTGCCTCAAGAATTGCAAATATAATCGGCAGAGAATAAATTGTATCGAATTGGGTTAATAATAAATGCACCTACAATTAGGGTTGCCAACTGGTCAAGGTTTACCTTGATTTGCAAGGTGAGAGAGTTCTGGTCAAGGTGAAAGGCGAGGGTCTCACCTTGACATAGACAGGTCAAGGTGAGAGTAAATGTAATTACCGTATGTCTATTTTAGGTATTTTTGTAATGAACACACTATTTAAAACCCAGAATAATATTTATTGCCTATTATTTATCATTAATAAAATTCTTAATTAAAAACCCTTCATACGAAAGACTTTTGTCTTCAAAAAGCTTATATCTTATATGGAAAATACACTTTATTATAATAAAACTAAATTAAATTAAAATCTAAATTTACATTTTGCTAATATTTCTAAAATATTTATAATCAAATATGCAATAATAATAGTGGTCAAGGTTTGGTCAAGGTGAATTTAGAAATTTTTTTTGTAGTTTTCAAGGCTGTAGTCGATCAGAGTTGGCAACCCTACCTACAATACCAGTAAAACGACCATGGGATACATCACCTATCTTTATAGAATTGCAATATTGGCATTTATTAGTAGCAAACCTAATAAACTTGGTAAATAACGACCGAAATGAGACAGTTGCATTAATATTTGGTGATATATCACATATAATTGGTGCGCCATATCATCTAAGACTGACCATGATTACCGGAACATTATTTTTTATATCACTTCAATTGATTGGCATTTATAACTACCGGTGCGGTAATGAACCGACATTTCTACGCGTGTTTGCTATGATGTCGGGTATTATTACACACAATAGTATCGGTCTATCGGACACGAGATCTGTCCATAAGTTGTTGAAAATTACAAAAATGTTATTTAAATACAATTCATATATTTATAATATTGTCGCACCAGTCCTTGAATTGGTATTTTTCATATTGTATATATTATACATGACTTTACTGCCGGCCATAATATACGGTATACTCAATTGGGTATTATATACTATACTATCGTATACTTCATTTTTGCAGGCAATATGGTTTGTCACTTATTTCTATATAATGCAACTGAGATGTAATTCTGTGCTAAGGAGGGCCCACTTGGGGGCACGTTACAGCAAGGGCTCCTGTGGGGTCGTCCCCACTCAAGATCACCGACACTCTCACACACACATTGCCCACTCTCCACACACATACCTTTTTCAATGAATATATCACCGGGATTGAAAACAACAAAGTTTATTGAAAGACAACGACAACCACACAACCAGCGCCAAAGAGTGCCACCAGCGATCTGAGGAGAGATAGGTTGAGCGCAGCATCTCTCCTCTCTGTGCTGTGACGTCTCACACATCTTCATCCCCTTCTAAGGTATGGTATGCGAGAGAGACGTCATAGCACAGAATTACATCTCAGTTGCATTCGGCGACCGCTCCAGTCAGCACTCCCGGGCTGATAAAGTACAGTGATTACATCAAATACAGTAAAATTCATAAATAATAAAACACATTGAAAGTTACGTAAATAATTCATATATCTTAAATAATTATCTCATTCCGTAATAAATCATTCGTTATAATAAACTCCATGCATTGATTATACATAATGAATCAATTAGTACTATTTAAATTAAGACTATTAATAGAGGTATCTATTTAAATACTTATTACTTTTATATATTTGCTCATTCAAAGAGAATACAATTCGTTTACTATTTATAAGTACTCATTCATTAAATCGTTACAAATAGCAAATAAATAACCAACTTGCTTTAAGCTACATTTATCGCAAAGCGTATAATTAAATAATGGTCATCCAAGTCCGGAAGGCTTTACGGAAGAGCTCGTTCGATAAGACCATCGGGAGTCGGATGAAACCGCTACATAGACGTCAGTATTTCGATATTCCATAACCAATGCAGTGTTTCGTAACCGGGTCGACCAATAATTATTTGTATTTCATAGAAATAAACTAATTTAAAAAATTGCGCGCTGTTGAATTCCACCAATATAGACTTCATTTGTCTGCTATTGTGGATAGTTAGGTCTTCTCTCTAAATAACGCAAGACCCCCCACTTCACCATTAGTCGTATTACCATTAAATGGGTTATCTAGAGGAAATACACCCGTTGGACCATCCTGGGTAGGCGTTGACCGCGACCCAGCGTTGTCTTCTTTGGCTGTCCCTATCTCGGCATGCCCAAGGGCAGTCAAAGGTCTCTCTGTAGTGACACCTTTTATCACACGCCTATTTGGTAATACACTTTTAAATACATTTTCTGTGGTCGTCACTACTATATCACCGGTAGGAGCCGTACCGGTTTCATCATTAGGAATTATGTTGTCATCATTGTTTTCTTGGTTCCCGCCGATAATGTCGTCGTCGGCATTAGGACGGTAGTGTTCATCATTTGAGGTCATATCTTGTCTTATAAACCATTTCTTTAATCTAATGGGAAAATTTTCGCGTGTTATGGGGTTATAATACTCTTCCACTTCATAGGTATTATATGGCATTGTGTACACTCGCGTGACACGGAATGGGCCCGAGAATTTAAACAACATCTTCTCGTTTACTCCAACTTTGCGGACCCGTTTATAGACTCCGACCGCATCGCCGACGTCAAATCTTACATCACGATGTCTTTTGTCGAAATTAACTTTCTGCATATCTTGGGCTTCTCTTAGATATTCTCGGAGCAAATAGCGGGCGTCCTGGAGTTTATCAGTCGTATACTGGACTTGATCGTCAAACGGAAGTTTGAGCGCGACATCTGTCGGTAATGTGGGTTCGAATCCGTGCAAAGCATAGAATGGCGAAAACCTAGTTGAGTGACTGACTGAAGAGTTGAACGCGAATTCAATGAACGGAAGTACTGTTGACCAGTTTCTTTGATTTGTGTTACAGTACATGGAAATCATGTCCGCGAGTGTCCTGTTGACGCGGTCTACAAGACCACAAGTGTTCGGCTTATACGCGGCGGCCAAGGAGTGCTCAGTCGCAAAGAACCGTAACACTTCTTCCATTGCATTAGACACAAACTGGCATCCCCTGTCGCTCAAAATCCGGGACGGACAACCGTAACGGCACACGATTTTCTCAATGAATGATTTTGCGATATTTTCGCTTGTACTTTCTTTAAGAGGGGCGATTATTATAAATCTAGTTGCGTAATCGACAAATACGAGCAAATATTTATTGTCATCACTCTTGGGTAGTGGGCCAATTAAATCACATCCCAGTAAATCAAATGGTTTAGATATCGGAATAAGATGTAATAGTCCTTTCGGAAGCGCATTCTCGATTTTACGGAATTGACAACAATTACATGATTGAACAAATCTCTTTACGTATTTATCATTTTGTGGCCAATAAAATCGACGTCGCACCTTACCTAATGTCTTGTAAAAACCAACATGGCCGCCAGTAAGCGACCCGTGGAGGTCCTGTAGCACTTGGTCACGTAATTGCGATGGTAGACATAGCAACAGCATTAGGTCACCATAATCATCATGTGTTTTGCGATAAAGTATGTTGTCTTTCAACTCATAACGACTACTTACATTAACATCCGGGTCATTTAAATTTTCTATTATGTTACGTATCCACTTGTCTCGTTGTGGTTCAACCGCCATATCAATGGTGTCGATGTTGAAATTAGCTATATGCTCGTGACCACTAGTCAGATCTATTTCGGTGTAAAGGACATCAGATTCAGCGGTAGCATACACATAACCTATCAGTTCGAAGCCCAGTTCGTCGATGGTCGCAATCGATTTATCATTTATTTTAATATACGATGGATGCTTTGGTGCTTTTAACAGACACTCATTTGGACACGTTGAATGTTGCAGTGTTATGCCATATACAGGTATTTCGAGATTCTCTTCGTCATCGTCTTGGGCTTGGCTCGACGTGACTGGATATCTACTCAAAGTGTCGCAGTTTTGATGAGTTTTTCCGGACTTGTATTGAATCTCGATATCAAATTCCTGTAAGCGGAGCGCAAATCTGGCTAGTCGCCCGCTCACATCACGGACCTTAAGCAACCAGCAGAGGGCGCAGTGGTCAGTCCGCACAATAAAGTGTTCCCCTGTCAAATAATGACGTAATTTTGTAATGGCCATGACCATAGCTAGCGCTTCTCTATCACTTGTACAATAGTTACGTTGCGCTTCCGTCAGTGTCTTGCTTCCGTAAACAAGGACACGTTCTCTATCGTCTTGTACCTGATGGAGCACCCATCCGATTGCATAAGCAATCGCATCGGTGTATAAAATAAGCGGTTGACCCTCAATATAATGGGATAATATGGGTTTATTCAGTAGTCTTTGTTTTAACTCATTGAAAGCTTTGTCGTACTCGTCTGACCATTTGATCTTTTGTGAGTTTGTAGTGTTTTCTTTCTTTAACAGTTGAGTGAGCGGTCGCGCGACTTTTGCGTAATCTTTAATTAATGACTTATAGTATTCGCTAAGACCAAGGAAAGATCGAACGCCTCTTTGATTAGTAGGTATAGGAAAATTCTTAACCGTCGTGATCTTTTCGTCGTCCGGTTCTATGCCTTCACTGGACACAATGTATCCCAAGAGATTGACCACTTTGGGTAGTATTCGACACTTTTTCGGTTGTAGTTTTAGATTTGCCTCTTTAAGTCGAATGAAAACTTTTTCAATATGTTCTAAATGTTCGTCAAATGTTTTCGAATAAATGACCACGTCATCCAGGTAGACGAGAACAAAAAAACCAAAGATACCCGGAAAATACGTCATTGACAAAACGCTGGCAGAACGCAGGCGCATTGGCCAATCCGAAGGCTACGCGTTTAAACTCGTACAGGCCCTGAGTGGTAATAAATGCGGTTTTGTGACGGTCTTCGGGTTCAATCACCATTTGCCAGTAACCAGATTTTAAATCCAACAACGATATATACGGACTCCCTTGCAATGCGTGCAACAATTGGTCTATGAGAGGCAGGGGATACCGGTCTTTCACTGTCTTATCGTTCAATAATCGAAAGTCAATACAAAACCTCGTAGATTGATCGCGCTTGGTCACAAGGACTACCGGCGAAGCATACGAACTCCTCGACGGTTGTATTACGTCATTATCTAACATCTCTTTGATTTGTTCTTCGATGATTTTCTTTACTTTTGGGCTTACTCTGTATGGCGCACGATTAAATGGAGTCTCGTCTGTCAGTTCTATTTTGAACTTTATTCCGTTTGCTTTTGACAACTCGTTTAAAGAGAAAGCAAAATTTGAGCGATATTTTATTAACAAAGATTTGATCGGTTTGATTTTTACTGGATCTGCTATACCAATAACTTTTTTAAAATCAAAATCAGTTTCCGGAGTGACGCTGTTGCTTTCATTGAACGGTCTGTGGTCTATGGAAAATTGGTCATAATGTGTATTCATTAAACGCTGTCGTGTTCTTTCTGGAGGTATGGCATCCATAAGCGTTGACATTAAATTAAAATTAAACGTTTTAGTCGGTCTGTAGTAAAGAGTTGTTCCATATAACTGACAGGCAAGCATTGGGTCAGAATGGAAATCAATGGTGGGAATCATTTCGCTCGGCTGGAATCTTAGACAGCTTATATTATTTCCAATAAAATCCATACCCAGAATTGCATCAGCAGGTATCCCGGTCGAGACAATAAACATGTGATTGTATTTTGTTAAATCATTATCAATAGTGAAGTCTAATTGTACGAACTCGGTAAGTAATTGTTGTTTTCCGCCAAGTAGATTTGCGACTCTTGGCGGGTTTAGTTTATGTGTAGGGAGTTGTAAAATTTTTACTAATCCTTTATTCATGAATGTACCTCCACTTCCGGTGTCAATGATAGCAACTATGAGAGTACATTTATAATAAAGTTTAATTTTAAATATTTCTGTATTTGGTAAAGGCTGGTAATGTTCGATACAATGGGTCTCAATGCCTTCGGGTTGAGACCCATGGCTTAGTTTCCCGAATGTGTGACTTGGCCGCGACCTCTAGGAGAGGATTTTGCAAGTTCCGGGCAAGAACTCCTGAAATGACCGGGTTTACGACACTGGAAACACAGCGGTCTTCCATCGATATCTCGTGATACATTGGTCGGCTTTTGTCCAACAACATTACCTTCGTCTCGAGGTGGGTATGATCGCGGGTTGGGATTATTGCGATTGAAATTGTTCTGGGAATTTGGCCTTGAATTGTTGTTAAATTGCCCACGCTGAAAGTTTTGATTAAACGCTTGATTATTCGTGCGGGAGAGTCGTAGTTGTGGTTGTTTGGATTAGGCTGAATATTGAGACTTCTGAATGAAGATCCTATTTCGCGTGCTTGTTGCGAGATAGCCCCGTTGGTTTTGAGGGCGGTTGTTAGCATATCCATTGAAATTGTTACGATTCACTGAAGGTGAGAAAGTAACTTGCCGTGGCCGTGCGCCACGTCGATCATCGTCCGACTCACGTTGCTCTCGTGTCAATTGCACTTCCACTTTAGTGGCTAAAAGCACTAAACTATTCACATTCTCAATCTTTTTCTGACGATCATCGTCGTTTAGCTTAGAGCGGATGTCTTTATATATAAACACAAATAAGCATATAAAATTAAAAAATCATGATTCATAATTATTTGTTCATTCTATTTTTACGATACTCGTCGGTTATTTTGCAAAACTCATCGTACGGTGTGACTACTTTATTAACAACGGGGTCTGACTGTATTGCCTTACGATATGTGTACAGTACAGGTAACTTATCGCGAAAATACTCGTCCGAGTTGTGACCTAACAGGTCTACACATAGGGGCAACAAATGAACGAAAGGGGCAATCTTATAGTCGGTAAGACCCGGCTTATCAGCACCTGTATAATTTATAACAAAAACAAAGTAGGTTAAAACAAAAACATTACAATTAATAACAAAAAAGTTACCAACCTGATAAATACTTGTCACCATTCAAACGTTTATCTAACATGTTATTAGCTTTGGCCAAATTAACCTCGATCTCTGGCCAAAGTGCGGCCAAATCGGATTTAGTAAACACATACTCCAGGCCCACAAAGTACTGGCCTATTGTCTCGACAAATGCCCGATCGCTGGCCCGTTGGTAGGGGTCGGGTGAGGCTAATGGTCGTGCGCCTGGTATTGTTTCATCAAGGTAATCTGCGATTATTAATGACTCGTTTAGTAAATCACCAGCCGGGCCCATTTCCACCACGGGCACTTTCCCGAGTGGGCTACGCTCCAGAAACCATTCGGGTTTGTCCCAGATGTTTATGTTTATTATTTCGTGCCTAAAAATATATAGTTATATAATATAATATAAACTATATTCAGTGAATAATATTGTAACAAAGTTGGTAATGAAATTATATTTGTAATATATTAAATTTATCAATTATTAATTTACTTATAACCATAATAAAATTAATAATTAACTAGGTAATGTAAGGTATAATCAATAAAATAGTAAATATAATTGAGAGAGAGAGAGAGAGAGAGAGAGAGAGATTATATAATTTATAATTAATTAGCTATTAAATTTAAAATTAACATTAATCATGTTCAAATTGTGTTAATTAAAATTACTAACTCGTTTAATGTTAGAGCAAAGTGACAATAAAAGTGATAAAGGTAATAATAATTATAACAACAATTATTTACAATTATATGATTTTTATACTTCGAGTAAAAATAAGTAATTGACAATTACTAATTGTTTATGTATTAGTGAACCTTAACTACTTTTAAGTGTTAATTGAACATGTTATAATATTTATCATATTCAAAATATAAATAATTGTCAAAAAAATGTTGACAATTAATTATTACTAATACATTTGGTGCGGTGGTAGTCACAGAGATGCTTAATCCAATAATATCTTAAATAATTTAACTTATAAACTTGGTAAAACAAATATAGTTAATGAATTACAGTCTGTATTTTATGAAAAAATGTTTTCAAATAGTAAAATATTAAACGAGTTAGTAATTTTAATTAACACAATTTGAACATGATTAATGTTAATTTTAAATTTAATAAGGTACATTCATGAATAAAGGATTAGTAAAAATTTTACAACTCCCTACACATAAACTAAACCCGCCAAGAGAGAGAGAGAGGGAGAGAGAGAGATGATATAATTTATAAATAATACGCTATTAAATTAAAAATTAACATTAAACCTGGTCAAATTGTTTTAATTAAAATTACTAACTCAATTTGTTTAGCAGTTAATACCATGAGCACCCGGTAGGCGAACGGACTATTTTGCTGGCTGTATACCCGCATAACATCGGGGTTAAGCCGCGGTGGGTACGGATCGCCTATGTGTTAATTGTTAAAAATAATAATTAATTAATAACAAAATTAATGATAAATAGTTTATTTAATTATATAGATATGTAAAATACACATAAAAATACCCTTTTTATAATTAGCCACCGGACGAGACATAACGAGATGTTTATAAACTAAAAATTTTAAATAATTGTTTATAAAAATAATAATGTTTTTTATTTGCAGTACAGTATTATAAAAATGTTTTCAGTATCAACATGAAATAATTATTTAAAGTACTATGATAAAACAGTTTTTACAATGTACAGTTTGTTGTTATGGCATTGAAACACCATGGTGTGCGTAATGATACTTAAATATTTATTTTAGATAATAATATATTTTTCTATTGTTTTTAAACTACCATATTATATTTGGCATTGACTTTTATGTAACTTATTCTGCATAACAATAATCATTAAGGTGTTTAGTGAGAGGGAACTTTTCTCTTCAATTCAAATATGTATTAATTGTATTTTCAATTATTATTTGTATTGAGTTGTAATAAACATAAAACATTTATTTATGTTATATTTTATTTAATAAGCTCATACACAACATACATAATAATGTTATTGTAATATAAATAAAAGTCTTCTAAGCAGATAAAAATATTTTAAAAACATATTATCAACACTTATATTATTACCCTAATTAAACATAAAAAGATTTACATAAATCTAGATCAAATAAATGTTATATTCATATAGAGCAAAACAAATCATAACATTTAATTTATTTAGTCTCAAAACGTTTACCAAATGTACGCAAATTTTCTATAAAAGTCTCTACCGGTAAGCGAGCACTTTGAACAGTAGTGTCGCCAGACATTTGTTCCCAGTAATTGTGGACAGTTGGCAACTCTCGCCGCAAATAATCAGCCCCGTTATGACCGGCAATGTCTACAAATAGCGGCAGGCGTTCAATGGAGGGCCATATCATGTAATCGACGAGCCCGGGCTGTGCCGCACCTGTAGGCAAGTTTAAGCACCTGTATTACAATCTATACAAACTACTGTAGATACAATTATAATAATTATTATAATTATTTATTATATAGCATTAATTCCATTATAATTATACTACACAATATATTATGAACATTATTGAAAAATATAAATATTATGTATTAAATGCTAGATTTATTAAACAAAACCTAGCTTTGTTAAATAAAGATTTCTTACCTGATAAAAATTGCTTCGCCCCTCTCTTGTCGCCAACAAGTTGTCAAACTTTTTGAATCCGTTGACAATATGTAGCCAATCGGCCGACAGATCAGCCGACATAAAGAAAGGTCTGGATGCGGGCGCCCACAGGTTGCTAAATAGCTCAACAAATACCTGATCCCTGGCCTTCTGGTACGGGTCCCGGGACTGTAGGGGTCGGGTCTCGGCGTACGTCTCATCCAGGTATTGGCACACTATGAGCGACTCGTATAGCACTTTGTTGTCCGGTCCAAACTCTATGATGGGCAATTGTCCAGCTGGGTTACGCTCACGAATCCAGTCTGGTGAATCTACCAAGTTCACGTTGATTGTTTCATGCCTGTTATAACAATCATATTATTATTATTTTGTTAAAATTAACATAATAAAATATTTTTGGGATTTTTATTTTATAATACATTTTAAAATAAATTATTTTATTAAACTTGCTACTTTGATTTGCAGTGGGTTATAAATGTTTTTAATAAATACGTTATTATTATTGTTATATTAAAATTAGTTTTTTAAATTAAGTAAAAATTTTGGTAATTAATTATTGGTTTTTATTTATAATATTAAAATTAAAGTTGTATGGTTTATTGTTAAAATTAAATATTGTATAAAAATAAATTACAAAAATAAGGCATAAAAAATATTTGTAATATTACATATACAGTATACGATTTTCTTTTCCAATCCAATAAGATTTTATATAATAAAATATATAAACATCATAACGAAGTGTTAATTACTTGTTTACAGTTTATAGTATTTGTATATGTTTGCATGTTGTAATTTTTTATAATTCCTGGTAATTAATCAAAATATCCTGAATTACTATGAATTAATAAATAATAAAAGTAGATAGAAATGCATTTACACGTGTAAGATATAAATTATCAAATAAATTAGCATTGTGAATGTATCACACTAAAACGTTGGGTTACATTTAATTTATTATTATACAAAAATATTTGATGTAATTATTATTTAAATTATGACTGATTTGGTTGACCATTAAATAACAATAAATGACCGTTAAATGTACAATAAAAATATTTATACAAAAATATTGATAATTACCATAAATGGTTAAAATTGAGATAATTTTTTGTCATTGTTAAGAATGATTTTGTTTTATGGAATCACTATGCTAAATTTACACTTTAATTTACAATTATCAGAAACACAGTGTTGCACATGTTGCTCCATAGCAATATTAGTAAACAAACTATTAACATGCATGCTCCATTGCATACAAACTGTAAATGTTTAATAAAGCTGTATTAGGTTGTATAAATAATTCAGCCATATAACTTTGGTTTGGTGTAATAGCGTGACCAGATCTATAGTACTGTAAAATTGTAATTAATAATTTTTAAATAATAATAATTTTACAATTATTTTGTTAGCGTTAAGTGTAACAAATAAGATCGAAAACGATATTAATCGAATAAATCGGTTTTATTTAACGTTTAATACGAATAATACACGAGATTTACGGAAAGATACGATTAGATTACGATAAGAGACGATACGACTCGACGACAGACTAACGAACGATAGGCGGAAAGGGATGTCGAGTGGGAGAGAGAGTCGACGTGCTTTTAGTACTGCGACTGCGCGTCACAATTTCACAATCGGTACTCAACCAGAAGATGGTATCAATACATTATTAACCGAAATACAGCATACAGTGGACCAACAAATGGCAATCATTGCCCGCCTGTGCGGACACATCCGGTGTTTGATCACCGGTTCGTCGACTGTATCGATGAGATCGCACGCAATGGCATACAAGCAGTCAATACGTGTTGTCACTGTAAACGGATCAATGTCAGGGGTCATCGAGTATTTAATTAACATTTTTATACATTACATAAATGCAATCAATGACCATGATAATATTACTAATTTGTTAATTTGCTAAAATGCTGATAATAATTTCGAAATCATTGCAAACTGTATACAAATAATTACAATAATGTTGTGATATCTATAATTTGCTCAAAACAATATACAATATACATCATTCTTAATTTACAGTTTATGTGCCGATAAACACCTTGTATAAATATTTTAGTCCATTGTTTTAAAAATAATCACAATTTATTAACGACAATTTGTTTTAAAATAACTATTAATTGTTTTTAGATATTTTTAATGGGATATTGAGTGTAATTAATAGTATAATTGTGTGTAATAATAATAATAATAATAATGTTTTAAAAACAAATCAATTTTTAATTTGTTAGTTACTATACATTTAAAATGCTAATACACCTTATCCTCGATTTAGGGAGACTCGATATAAAGCTAATTCGATTTAAGAGAGGGTTTTTTGCTGCACCGACCGCTCCTATGAGAGATTAACATTATGCCACTCGATATAAGGAAAATTCTATTTAAGCAAAACTCGATATAAGAGACATTTTTTAGTGCACGCGCAGCACTGCTGTACTCTATATAAGCAAATTTTATTTAAAAACAGTACATGAAAACGGGTTTTGTACAAAAGTGTTCCTTATAACCGTAAATGAAAACACGTTTTGTATAAAAGTGTTGATTATTTTTATAAAAACACATTTTGCCTTAAAAATGTCTGAGAAATAGTCTCGAAATAGTGTTACATTAGAGAAAATATATAAAGTGATTAAATTAGTCGACAAAAAGTGTCCAAATCAAGGGGAAATTAAACAATTTAGTGCTGAAAGACTCATGATATCAAACATTTACATGTTTTATGCTCAAAGAGATGCCATTATTAAAAATTTTGAGACATCAAAGTCATCAGATGTATACAATTTTTAGGAAATTTAAGTCAAATACTAATGGCTCTGGTATGAGTTTTGAATTAATTAATAAATTTGAGAATAAAATCGACAATAGTAGACAAAAGTGTTTAAAACAAACAAAAATTAGTAATTATATAAATTAAATATAACTTTATCTAATAAAACACAAATTTAAGCCTATATTTGATGTTTTTAGGTAAATTTATATGAGACTCGATATAAGGAGAATTCGATTTAAGAGACACATTTCTGTTTCACCGATCATTTCCTTAAATCGAGGATAAGGTGTAATATATTTGTTACTATTAAAAATTATGCATTTGATTTATTGAATCACTAAGTTACACTTAATTATCATAAGCATTGTGTTGCAAAAATTAAAATAGCAATGTTTGTACACATACTAAAAACAATCATGCTCAAATGTGACAAAAACTGTAAATCTTTAATAAAGATGAATTCTGTTGCATAAGTAATTCAATTATATAAGTATTATTGGCAAGTTACCAACAATCGGATTTATTTTATTTAAATTAAAATAAACTATTATTAAATCATAATACTTTTATTTTTACTTCAAAATCCTTACATAACCAGAATATTGATAGTATTGATGCATTGCTAACCGAAATACAACACAAAGTGGACCAACAAATGGCAATCATTGTCCGCCTGTGCGGACACATCCGGTGTTTGATCACCGGTTCGTCGACTGTATCGATGAGATCGCACGCAATGGCATACAAGCGGTCAATTCATGTCGTAACTGTGAACAAGGTTACAGTTAAGGGTCAGCCGTAAATAAATAAGATATTTCAAATGTTTGTTATACCATTATATACTTTATACAAATAATTACAATAAAGTTCGTCAACATGATATTAGATAAAATAGAACCTTTATGAAATAATATATTATTTATACAGTAATTAATTGTTTAATTTTTATATAATATTGTAAGCCCCCAAAATGGGCTTGTACACCCCCGGTAGGGGGGTCATTCTGGAGAATGCCCTTAACACAACACACGCGCGCACTTTCACACAACATTACATACATAACAAAAACAGCCTTAAAATTAACAATTAATTTAAAATACATATAAATAAAATTACTTCAAATTGATTGCGATTCTGGAGTAATATTTATTATAACTTATAATTTATAAGGCAATTATTAAAACAAAATACACAACTGTGCGCCAAAAGAGATGCTGACATTCTGGTGAGAGAAGGGTTGCACACAGCATATCATCCCTTCTCTCTGTGTAAACGCCGAGTCATCGTATCGCACAAAATGCAATAAAATGCGATGACTCTGTGTTTACTGGC